CAGACTCAGCAACTGGAGGAGACGCAGTGGTCAGAGTGTACAGGCTCGACCCCGGCTGACGGGTGAACGTAGCCAGGTGTCGGCCTGTGCCAGCCTCTGTACAGTGGGTCACTCGCTGACGTGCAGGAGTGAACTGGTGGACACCCGCATCCTGTAGGTCAGCACCACTCACCAGGTTCGTCGAGAACGAGGGGAGGTAGAGACCAGACAGGGTGCCAGAGGGAGCCGCCGGACACGGGAGGACTGTGGAGAAACGAGACAGGACCGGACCCCCAGAGGGGTCAGCCAGAGACACCGCAACCGGCCGACTAAGCGGCGTGAGTGTGGTGCGGTCCCGAAAGAAGGAGCGAGACGCCCCAGAGTCAAGAGTGAAGGTGAGGGAGGCCGAAGCTGACGCGGTACCTGAGAGAGCAGACTCACCAGTACCTGAGGACGCAGACACACCAGCACCTAGAGCAGCAGCGTCGTAAGCACCTAGGGCAGCAGCCTCACCAGTACCTAGAGCAGCAGTCTCAATGCCCGGATCGGGCTGGAAACACCGGTAACAGTCACCCTCATCACTAATAGACACAGCATACATGGCAGAGAGAATAGCATCAAAGTCCAGATCAAAGATGGCAACCCCCGCCCTAGACAGCTCGTCCCAGCGAGGGATCTCGGAGGCCTCCGGGAACTGGTGACGCCATGCGTCCGTCAGGCGGCCAAAGCAGCGCGGAGTGGGGTGCGCACCCCCACACTGCTCACCCGCACGGTCGCCGGTGCGCAGGACGTAGGTACACGGACCAAAACCCCCACCCCGCTGGCGTGCAGTGTACCACTCACGGAGCTGCTGAGGGGACAGGGTCGCACGACCACGCTGCTGCTGCTGGCGCGAGCCACCACCGGAGCCACTCCTCTGCAAAGACCCGCGACCAGCTCCACCGCCACCCCCACCGCCTCCACCGCCTCCGCTGCCTCCACTGCCGCCGCCGCCTCCACCGCCTCCTCCACCGCCGCCTCCTCCGCCACCTCCGCTACCACCGCCACCGCCGCCGCGGCCTCCGCCTCCACTGCCGCCACCGAACCCCCCACCCCCACCTCCACCTCCACCGCTACCCCCACTCCCCCCACTGCCTCCACCTCCACCTCGACCGCCCGCTCCTCCAGCTCCCTTGCCCCCCTTGCCCTTGCCAGGGTGGCGTCTCCCGCTAGGGGCAGACGCCGCACCGACCGACTCAAGACCAAGGAGGTCGGCCGAAGCAGCAGAGGCAACAGAGGGCAGCAGGGGGGAGGGAGAACACCCCTCAAAGATGGGGGTGCGCGGGTCACCTCGAGAGGCTCCTACAGCGACTATGCTCTTTTCTATCGCGAGGAGGGCCTTCTCGAGGAGGTCTACAGTGAGTGTGGTGGGACAGACTGAGAGAAAGTGGTCCCTGACTACTCGAAGGGAGTCAGGGAGGCGAGTGACTAGGAAGTACAGAGTGATGTACATGGGGGGGGGGTTCGCGGTGCAGAAGTCAGCAGGAAGTGCAGCGCGGTAGCGAGTGTCACTAGTGCGGAGGTGCGTAATGAGGTCAGCAACGGTGGGAAAAGAAGCAAGGTCAGGGAAGAGGTACGGCAGCATGAGACGGCTCAGTGCAGCAGTGGAAGGGGAGGAGTAGCGCGCGACTACAGCGGCGTACAAGGTCTGAGCACTCTTGTACTGACTAAAGTGCGCACGCTCGGAGGTAGGGAGGTGGCGACGCACAGCAAGACGTGCAGCAGCATCGCGCGTGGCCCACTGGGAGCGAACAGTGGCGTCAGCATCAGCAGCAGGGGCAGGGGAAGCGCCAGAGGTGAGGTCAAAGAGAGAGAGGCCGTCCGCCCTATCGCACTGTAAGAACAGCTGTAGGTCATCTACCCAGACCTCAAAGTCAATGGCCCGACCCTCAGCGTCAAAAGTGAGGACACTAGGGGTAGCCATGACAGCAGTAGACCAGCAGTGCAAGGAGTAGGGGAAGAGCACGCAGTGACAGAGGGTCTGTGCTCACCGGACAGGGCGGCTCGGCTGCAGGGCGGCTCGGCCGCTGGGCGGCTCGGCGGCTGGGCGGCTCGGCGGCTGGGCGGCTCGGCAGCTGGGCGGCTCGGCGGCTGGGCGGTCGGCTGCACGGCGGCTCGGCTGGTGGGCGGCCGGGCGGCTCGGCTGCAGCGCGGCTCGGCGGCGGGGCGGCTCGGCTGCTCTGCTGCTGGGCGGCTCGGCTGCGCTGCTGTTGGGCGGCTCGGCTGGGCCGCTGACGTAGGGCGGCGGGGCCGCTGTAGAGGAGTGGCGGGGCCGCTGCAGAAGGACGGCGGGGCCGCTGGGTAGTGAGGCGGCGTGGCCGCAGTGAGAGGCGGCGGGGCCGCAGCGAGAGAGGCGGCGGGGCCGCGAAGACGGGCGGCGGGGCCGCTGAGACGGGTGGCGGGGCCGCAGTGAGTGGCGGCGGGGCCGCAGCGAGAGATGGCGGCGGGGCCGCGAAGACGGGCGGCTGGGCCGCAACGAGAGAGGCGGCGGGGCCGCAGAAAAGGGCGGCGACGGGCCGTAGGCGGCGCGAAGCCGCAGGTAAGGGCGGCGACGGGTCGGGGCGGCTCGAAGCCGCAGGTAGAGGCGGCGCGAAGCCGCGGGAAGGGCGGCGACGGGCCTGGGCGGCGCGAAGCCGCAGGTAGGGGCGGCGCGAAGCCGCCGGTGAGGGCGGCGCAAAGCCGCGGGTAAGGGCGGCGACGGGCCGGGAAAAGGGCGGCGCGCCGCAGCCGCTAGGGCGGCTCGACGCGACCGTAAGGGCGGCGCGACGGGCCGCTAGGTGCGACTCGACGGGCCGCTAAAAAAAAAGGCAGGCGCGACTCGAGGCGCGCTTCGGTGGGCCCAAGGAACAGTCCCTAGGAGGGGACCTGCTCTGATTCCATGTGAGAATGAGAACGAGAATGGATGATGCTATGAAAATGAAGTGAGTACAAATATGAAACCCTAATTGGTTGTACCCCCTATGGGATACCCCACTATAGCCTACACAACAGCATAAGCTATAATGTTCTGACACACTCCTTGCATGCTTCTCCTCTATTTGTACTTGTCATTCTATAGTTGAATCACTCATTTTGCTTGAACTTCTACTTTGCCTAAGGCTAAACCCTAGCTCCTACTCCTAACTGTGCATCCTAAGCCTAAACCTAGTTTCCTAGGTGCTTAGTATCTTGACACTTATCTTGTTTACCTGTTTCTCTGTTGTTTCAGCCCAAGCGCCCGACGCGAAGCATCAGCCAGCGTGGTCGTTGCATTCCGTGGTAATTAGTTCATGTAGTTTGTGCGTGTATTTCTTGTTTCGTTAATGCTCGTCGTCTGTTTCTTCTTGCAGGTCGCCTGTTTTCCTTGCAGGTCGTCTTGTTCTTAAGGCTCACGATGACTACTGCTGGTAAGATATCGTTCTGTTTTGTTCTGTTTTTTTTTGCATTGACATCAGTTTCAATGTGCAGCCCCCGGTGAAAGCATTAGAGCAGCAGATGGGTTTCCATCCGAAAATGGTCGGAACTCTTACGTCGATGTTACTTTCTGAGGTTGCCTTCGGAGTTGCTAGTAGATTGCTAGGTCATTGTCAGGAAATATGATTTGCAAAATATTATTACTAATGATATTGCTTATTTGCATGCTGCAAAATATTGTTACTAATGATGTTGCACATCTGAAATCGAATGCTGTTAATTGCAATGCAATGTTTATTCATATTTACATCATAATGATGATGCATACAACGGATATATGCCTATAACGAGCCGAAACTGTAATTGAACTGTGCCGATAACGGGCATATTTTATTTATGAGCACACGTTTGCAATTCGATTTCGAAATGTGTTTTAACGAGTACACAATCCGACCACTGTAATTGCGACACAAGGGCCTCCCTTAAAGCAACAGTATACTTTTGCAAGCGGGGGTTTCAAAAACCTTAGGAACTTGAAAAACTGGTTACGCGATTTCAACCCCAACCCCCCCTGTTGAGAGGCGGAGTCCCCAAACGCCCCACGTCCGGCTCCCCGCACTCACAGTTCAAAACCTTAGGAATTGCAAAAGGAAACTGAAACTGCGGTAGTGAGAGGATAGCCCACACGCTCCTACTTCGGTAGGTTATTCCGTGTAGACTAGGCAACATTGTAACCTAACAGCTAGATTTAGGGACAGAATCTGTTACTGAACCGCGTAACGCTGTTTGCGCGCATGCGCGGACAAATCGCCACGCCTTCGCACTCGCTTAGGCCACACCACCTTAGACAAGACCGCCCCACGCCTCCTCTCGCTGCCTCACCGCGAGGCCATTGGCGACAGCGCCTCCCCTCCCCACAAAGTACCGTTTAGCCTCGACGCGCTAGCATCTGCATCCCATCCCTTCCTCCACTCCTAGCTCGCCGTCCGCCGTTCGCCGCGCGCGATTGGGTACGTCATCCCCCCTTCCCGCCACGCCTTCTCTTCTTCCGGGTACGCCCTTGTTTCCTCCCCTGCACGCCCTCATTCCAGAGCACTGAATTTCCCTTTCCGCAACCTCATTTCCGCCCGAAATCCCCTTTCCGCAACCTCTCGCCTTACCCATTCCTGCTCCTATTGCCTCCCGGTTCAAATTCTTCTTTCGCCTCCCCGCGCGTGCTCCTCTCGCATCCCCTCGCTCTCCTCTCGCTTTCCTCGCCCGGCCTCCTCACGCCTCCCCGCGCGCTCGACTCTCGCCTCCACGCGCGGCCTCCTCTCGCCTTGCCGCACGTTCTCCTCTCGCGTCCCCGCGCCTGCTCTTCTCGCCTCCCCGCGCCTGCTCTTCTCGCCTCCCCGCGCCTACTCCTCTCGCCTCCCCGCGCGCGCGACTTTCGCCTCCCCGCGCTCTCCTCTCGCCTCCCCGCGCGTGCGACTCCCACCTCCACACGTGTCCTCCTCTCGCCTTCCCGCACATGCGCATCTAGCCTGCGTCGTCGGCTTCACCCTGCCTCCCCTCGCTGCCTCTCCGCGTCTCGCGGCGGCCTCCCAAAGCGAGCTGCACTCGAATAAGGCCCTTCTCCTCCTCTCACCACGCCTTCTCCTCCTCTCACCACGCCTTCTCCTCCTCTCACCACGCCTTCTCCTCCTCTCACCACGCCTTCTCCTCCTCTCACCACGCCTTCTCCTCCTCTCACCACGCCTTCTCCTCCTCTCACCACGCCTTCTCCTCCTCTCACCATGCCTTCTCCTCCTCCCGCCACCCCCTCTCCTCCTCCCACCATGCCTTCTCCCCCTCCCGCCGTGCCCTATCGTCCTCACGCCATGCCTTCTCCTCCTCTCGCCATGCCTTCTCCTCTCGCCATGCCTTCTCCTCCTCTCACCACGCCTTCTCCTCCTCCCACCATGCCTTCTCCTCATCCCACCATGCCTCCTCCCCCTCCCGCCGTGCCTTCTCGTCCTCCCGCCAATCCTCCTCTCCTGCTTCCCACCATTTCCCCGCCTGCTTCCCCTATTTTCCCCCTCTGCTCCTCTTTCCCCATCTTCTCAACTTTCCCACCTCCGCTCTTTCTTCCCCTCTGCTTCTCTTCTCCCCCTCTTCTCCTCTTTTCCCTCACTGCTCCTCTTTCCCCCCTGTGCTCCTCTTCCCCCCCCCCTACTCCACTTTCCCCCTCTGCTCCTCTTTCCCTCTCTGCTCCTCTTTTTCCCGTCTGATCCTCTTGTCCCCCTCAGCTCATCTTTCCCCCCTCTGCTCATCCTTTTCCTTACTGCACCTCTTTTCACCCACCGCTCCTCTTTTCCCCCTCTGCTCCTGTTTCCCCCCCCCGCTCTCAGTTTTCCTCCCCTGCTCCCCTTACCCTCTCTGATCCTCTTTTCCCCCTCAAATCCTCCTTCCCATCCGCACCTCCCCTGTCCCCTCTTATTCCTCTCCCTTCCCCGCCAGCTCACTCACCCCTTTCTTCTTTTGCTTCTCAGCCGCCAGTGAACCCGCGGGCTCCGGTTCTTTAGTTGTTCTGCCTGATATTCTCTACCCTTTAAGACACACCTCTTCTCCCCACACCATGCTCGTCATGCCATATTCCCTTCCCGCCATGCCATTTTCCCTGGCGGTGAAGGCCGTGAGAGTGCTCTGCCTACAGGTGGCTGATGCTTTCTCCCGATTGACATGGCGCAAGGTGAGGGGTGGAGGTAGTGGGCGGGGGACGGGAGAAGTGGGGAGGGGGGGTGGGAAGGGGACAGGCAAGGGCCAAGCAAAGAGGAAGGTAGGGAGGAGAAATTGAAGTGCAAAGAGGCTGCTGTCCATGTGCTCCCTCGTGCTCGTCTCCAACATGCAGAGCCCCATCCTTGCCTTGCCGTCCCCAACCCCACCCTTCCCACCCAGGTGCCATGAAAAGCCACGCTCATCTTTCTTACTTCCCATTCTTACGTCCCATCTCCCCTCCCTCCCTTCCTATCTCCTTCCCTCCCTGCCCTTCCCTTTCTGCCCTACCCTTCCTGCAATTCTTACCCCTCACATACTTCCATTCCCTACTTTTTTTCCACATCCGTGCCTTCTCATCTCACATCCCTGCCTTCCCATCTCACATCCCTGCCTTCCCATCTCACATCCCTGCCTTCCCATCTCACATCCCTGCCTTCCCATCTCACATCCCTGCCTTTTTTCCTCACATCCCTGCCTTTTTTCCTCACATCCCTGCCTTTTTTCCTCACATCCCTGCCTTCCCTCCCATAGGTTTGGGGCCCCACTATATACCGTTGCAACACCACGTGCCGTACAGCCAGTATGCATACGCAAAGCTGCAGGTTTTGCATGCAATCCTGCTACACACAGGGCAAAGCCAGGCCCGGGCAATTTTGGCGGCATGAAGGGAGGAGCAGCAGGTCCAAGAGTTTGGGGGGAATGAAGGCGACACAAAGAGTAGTGGAAGGTGCTATCTTGTATGGTGTTTTGCGATGATTTTATCATGTGTACATACTCCTCTCAAGCTTCTCTTCTCTACATCAATGCTGTGCTGTGCCCATTTGAAAGAACAGAGGTCACATGACAACCATTGGATTCCACTACCATTATTCAGAATGTAAATTAGTTGTAATACCATGCTATGGCTAGATACATTGAAGGCATACATATTGTAGACTGAGATTACTACTTCATTGTGCTCCATGCTGCACAGAGCAGATATCGAGTAAAGATGATCTGGAAATCCGGAGGACAGAGTACAAGCGTGCAGGAAGAGCGTGTTGGGGGGGGGGGGTAAGGGGGTGGAGACGAACAAGGGCAAGCAGGTGGGGAGACAAAGCGTAAGGGGTGAAAAACTCAGAGAAAGGAGGGTGATAACATAGGAAACAACGGGGGAAGGAGGGTTAGGGGAGAACTGTGGGCAAGACGCAATCGAAGAGAAAGCAGGCAAAGGAGAAGCAGGGACGCTAATGAACGGAAAGAGAGGGAGAAACGAGGGGAAGCAGAGGGCGAAAAGATGAGAAGAGAGGCAATGAGAGGGAGCAGGGGAGGTGATGAGAGGGAGCAGGGGAGGTGATGAGAGGGAGCAGGGGAGGTGATGAGAGGGAGCAGGGGAGGTGATGAGAGGGAGCAGGGGAGGTAATGAGAGGGAGCAGGGGAGGTGATGAGAGGGAGCAGGGGAGGTAATGAGAGGGAGCAGGGGAGGTGATGAGAGGGAGCAGGGGAGGTGATGAGAGGGAGCAGGGGAGGTGATGAGAGGGAGCAGGGGAGGTGATGAGAGGGAGCAGGGGAGGTGATGAGAGGGAGCAGGGGAGGTGATGAGAGGGAGCAGGGGAGGTGATGAGAGGGAGCAGGGGAGGTGATGAGAGGGAGCAGGGGAGGTGATGAGAGGGAGCAGGGGAGGTGATGAGAGGGAGCAGGGGAGGTGATGAGAGGGAGCAGGGGAGGTGATGAGAGGGAGCAGGGGAGGTGATGAGAGGGAGCAGGGGAGGTGATGAGAGGGAGCAGGGGAGGTAATGAGAGGGAGCAGGGGAGGTGATGAGAGGGAGCAGGGGAGGTGATGAGAGGGAGCAGGGGAGGTAATGAGAGGGAGCAGGGGAGGTGATGAGAGGGAGCAGGGGAGGTAATGAGAGGGAGCAGGGGAGGTGATGAGAGGGAGCAGTGGGGGAAAGGGGAGGGAAATCAGGGGATGGAGAGGGGGAACGAGGGGAAGCAGAGGGGGAAATGATGGGATGGAGAGGGGGGAACGAGGGGGAGCCGAGGGGGAAACAAGGGGTAGGAGTTGGGGGAACAGGGGGGATCAGAAGGGAAAATGATGGGAAGGAGAGGGGGGAACAAGGGGAAGCAGAGGGAGAAATAAGGGGAAGGAGAGGGGGGAACGAGGGGGAGCAGAGGGGGGAAGGAGAGGGCGGAACGAGGGGGAGCAGAGGGGGAAACAAGGGGAAGGAGAGGGGGGAACGAGGGGGAGCAGAGGGGGAAACAAGGGGAAGGAGAGGGGGGAACGAGGGGGAGCAGAGGGGGAAACAAGGGGAAGGAGAGGGGGGAACGAGGGGGACAGAGCAGCAGGTAAGGCCAGCAGAGGGTGAGCGTGAAGCCGGTGACGTGCTAAGAGAGGCGCGCTATGGGTTACACGAGAAGCACTCGCCTGCATAAAACTTGAGAGGAATCGCAGTGCGTGAGCGGTGAGGCGCTATGCGGTGTGGCGCTTGGCGATCGCGCGCTTTTCTGTGAGGCGCTTAGCGGTGGGGCGCGCAGCGGGGCATTAGGCAAGTCGCGGGTGACGCGCTAAGAGGGTGTCGCGAGCTGCGGGTTCGGCGATCGAGCTGCAGGTTTCGCAAGAATATCGCCAGCGAGGAGCACGCATGGAATGCGGCGCGCCTCTTCGAAGGCTATTACTACATCGCGCGCGAGGCCTTAGAACGAGTCTATTCATGAGAGAGGAAGGTGTTTGTAGAAATGCTTATTCAATCATCTCGCGAGCCAGCCTTGTGACATGTGTTCCCTTACCAACAGCGAGTTTCTTAGTGGTACCGCTACTCCTCGGTCCCCTTAGTCGCCTTTTATATTGCCTGTGGGAAGGCATTTCCTAGAAATCAATCGCTAATCCTTCAGTTATGAGTGTCACCCCAGGTGTTGGGTGATGGGAGAGTTCCTCGTGTTCGCAACTAACAGCCTCCCAAACTTTCGCCGACCCTCTCGCCAAGCCTGTTCGTTTTCGTTGGGGTTTGCTTTTGGTGGGTACTGTTCCAAAACCAACAGTACTTTCAAATGTATACTGCTCACAGAAGCCCACAGGTTGCACAATGGGATGGCAACCTCTCCAGCGTGGAACCAGTAAACCCTGCCATGTGTCGAAATTTCTCTGACACACATTTGCTCGCACCCAATCCTGAATAAACATCACACTAACTGTCAGGTAACCTAGACTTTCGCCTTAAAACCAGGGTGCACATTCAACGCGGTTCGGCTTGAGATGTTGGGAAGGGGGTTTGGAGAAAAACAGTGATTGGCTCACGAGGGGCGACAAAAAAATGATTCCGCTAGAGCTTCGGGCATTTCGTAGGTGGCGGGAGGGGGTGAAATGGCGGGAGTGGGTGAAACCGAATGGCGGGAGGGATGAAACAGATTGGCGGGAGGGGGGGGAAACGAAATTGCGGGGGAGGGGGGAAACGAATTTCGACTTGAAGGGGTTGAAAGCACACCTCGTAACCCACTCAGTCAAGGGATAACCTTTGATGCACATTCAGCTGAATGTGCACCCCGGTTTTAAGGCTTCCATTCAATCAGCACCCGAAGATCACCCGAAATTTTCGCCTACCACTTCGCCTCGATCTGCATTGCAAATAGAATCAAACAAAACAGTCTCGTCAACCAATCAACATCTCCTACAAGACCAATGAATGTCGCACGCTAAACATTGAAACCCACGTCAAAGCAACTACAACGCAGGTTGAGGTTCGGAACCAATCTTCAACTCAACCTACGTTCAGTAGCTCTTTCAGGAGCCAAGACGTAGGTGTTTTTTAACCTACGAAAATGTTGCGTAGAGTTATCTTCAACGCAGGTGTTGAAACTGCACATTTTTGGGATGTAATTCCGCGGGTCACCTTCATAGCCCGCGTCTAATTGGCCAGTGTTCGACGCGCGGGAATGCGCGGTGGGGGGAAGGGAGCCGCGCGGGGGGAGCAGCAGGAGGTGGCAGGCGGCGGAAACGTTGAGCGCGAGGCACACCCACGCGGAGAGGGCGGCGGGCATGTCGGTGCGGCGAGCGGACGGCGGTATCGAGGGGTGTGGTGTGAGCGAGGAGATGGGGCGGGGCGAGCATGGGTGAATGAAGGGTGATGGTGATGGCAGCCGCGAGCACCAATGCTTGCCATGCGATGGCTCACCAACGCGCAGGACGGGTCTATGCGGGAGTGGCCCTGAAGAGGGCATTTCGGGTTGGGTGGGGACGGCTTGGTGCTCGTGCGGTGGAGCGTGGCACCGAGCGGTTCTGGTTTGAGCCAAGTTGATGTAAACAAATCTCACGTCAATATAAGGGCGACGTCAGGTTATACATATCTCACGCGTTTACAGTTCTTGTATCGTGGTTCAGGACGGTCCAACACGTTGCAAAGCGGTTCCCGACGTTTACCGCTCTGAACCGTGTTGACACGAAGTTACCCACAGTGGGCGTAGAAAAAGTTGTACAACCTGACGTCGCCCTAAGCACGATCATTTCCTTACCTCGACCCCCTAACGCGTACAGCAAACTGTTCCCGCCATTTCATCCAAACAGTGTTTCGCTACCACTTCACGATACTCGTTTACAGAAAAATCCCCAATAATAATCGGTTGTTAAGTGTCATTATACTAATTCCGGAGCTTATAGAAAAGCCCCAATAATAACGGTACCCTAAAAAGTAAACTCGTCATATTACAAGCCCCCCAGGGCGCTTAGGGCGACGTCAGGTTGTACAACGTTTTGTACGCCCACTGCGGTTAACTTTGTTTCAACACGGTGCAGAGCGGTAAACATCAAGAACCACTTTTCACCGTTTTGGACCGTCTTAAACCACGATACAAGAACTGTAAACCCATGAGAAATGTATAACCTGACGTCGCCCTTATATCCTGTCTTTCAACTGGAGAATCACAGTAGCACCACGAAAACTACGATTAATGCAAGCCACACGATTTTTTGCATTGGCAAAGGAGACTCTTCATATTTGTGCTGTTCCAGCATGTAACCCTGAGTTTATTGAACTACCACCGCGTTTCATGGTATGCAGAAACGTCCTCCCCAATGTCCCATTAGCGTTTTCAAAATTACCTTGGAGCCATCAGAATTTAAAAGTGAAACATGGTAGTTGGACGTCACTTGAAATTACTATGGCACACAAATGGACTTATCTGCTACAGTACCAGAGCAAGACCTACCGTTGTACTCATAAAACCGTGCGATTGCTGTTGAGGTAGGCCCACCATAGAAGCTGTAAGCAGCTGAGCATGCCATTGTCCGCTGGACAGGCTTGGCCCTACCCTTCTTGCATAAACCCACCGTGAAAGGCCAATACTCTGCCCTGAGGCAAACCTGGAACCATAGGACACATGGGATGGGATAGAGGTTTGTGAATCAATAAGGGCGTTTGTGAAACTGGTGTAGACTAACAAGGAATGCACAATTGATGGAAAGGAGATAAGGCACGTCCCCTCAGCCCTCACAATCCTCACCTGCACACCAATGTTGCTGCCGATAGCGGAGGCAGAGGAAGGGATAGTGGCGGCGCAAGTGAGGCCAGGATTGTTGCGGTACAGTGCAGCCCATGCATTCTCACTGGCACTGGCACCCCCTGGTGAATTGTCATTGGAATTGGCTTCCGAAGGGGGCACGCTCTTGCTGGTCCTTTGCAGCAGCTGCTCGCATGTGTCTTGAGGTGTGAGCGTGCCGAATCGGACACACTCGGGTACGGTGAAGGCGAAGGCAGCACTGCGCTCGAGGCACACAGAGCGGCCCGCCTTGATGGGCTTGGAGCAGTCAAGACCGGGGTTGTGAGTAGCGAGATCTCCGTATTTGAGGTTGAGCGATGTGCTGATGGATGCACAAGTGTCGCCCTGGAGGGTTGACAGAGGCAAGGAAAGTGATCAATGGCGCTTGTGATGTGCTTAGCGACATTTTCCGGGTGCTAGGGATGCGCTGAGTTGTCTACACGAGTTGGTCAAGTGCATGTTGTGGTGTGGGCAAGAAAGCGGCAGTTCTCACATTGAGGGAGTAGAAGAAGGCAGTGCAGGGTGTGGCAGGAGTACCATCCAGCTGAAGCACACTGCCCTTGGGCAATGGCTGGCTGCAGTCAATTCCCTGCATTCGGAGAAACGTGCATTTGAATGAGAACTCTATACCACATTGCGCACAGGAAAGGCCTCCTCTCCTCAGTAGGTCCTGGAGAGTAAGGTTCTCACACCTCAGTATTCAATACAGCATTCTCAGATTCTTCCTGTGAATGAAAGAATAAAGAATTTCTGTTTGTTGATGGGAGGGTGAAAGGAGTTCAATACAAAGCTGAATGACGGCTCATAACTTCAACTCTTTTATCACTCACTCTATTTTGGTCTGTGAAGTCAATCAATGAGAGGCCAGTAAGCACATGAACATCCGAGCACCACCAGTTGTCTCCACTGACTGTCATTGTGGTGGCCGTGGTATTAGCTGCAGGCAGAACAAGGAGTGAGGTAGAGGCACAGAGAAAGAGGGAGAGAAGGATTCACTGGAGATTTGAAGGAAGAGGATCAGGATTGGAGTAATGGAAGATGCCAGCCCCACCAAGCAAGCGGAGGTTACCAGGCACATTCACCAATGACTGAGACCAATGGACATATCAAAGCGGCTTACCTGGATCGCAGGTGGGGAAGCCGTCAACTGTTGTGCTCTGAACGTGGTTGGGAGGGCAGATGCAGGAGTAGGCGCCCTTGCCATCGTTGATGCATGCTCCCACATAGCAAGGGTTCTTGAAGTATGACCCACACACGTCCACTGCCACACGTGTACCAAGGAGGCATAGATAACAGAGAGTTGAGACAAACATGAATATTTTAATGAAAGCGAGGGTGAATATTGGGAGAGATAAAAGGGGTATAATGTCTGCACGCACACTCCCAGCCACCTCTGGGGGACCTCTAACACACATCGGACACAGGCAGGAGTATGTAGAGCACCAGGGTGAATCTGTTTTTTGAGAATTCTAAAATAACAGTATGTAGAGCACTAGGGTGAATCTGTTTTTTGAGAATTCTAAAAAAACAGTATGTAGAGCACTAGGGCGAATCTGTTTTTTGAGGATTCTAAAAAAACAGTTTGAAGAGCACCATGGTAAATCTGTTTTTTGAGAATTCTCAGAAAACAGTATGTAGAGCACCAGGGTGTTAGAGGAGTCTTGTCCGCTCACCTCATTGCCCTCACTCTCTGTCGGGCAATGTGCATATATTTGAAAACGTCTCCATGCTACAACAGTACGGCATACTTCAGTGCAACACCAGACTACATGCCCTTCCACTCACCCTTTGACTTGCCACTGAACTTACCATAAGCACATGTGGAGCCAATTCCATTGCCAACCTCCACAAAAGGCTGCACAGCAGCAGTAGGAATATTGCAGGTGCAGTTGTTGCTGCTTGGTGTCGTCCCCTGGCACTGGAAGCGGCCGCATGGGTTCATGCTGGGCTGCAAATCCCCATCGCCCTTGTAGCTGCTCTGGCCGCAGGGGTCCCCTGGAACTGGAAGGTGTTACACAGGATACACTTGAAGAGCATGACGATGGAGGTCACAGCAGACACTAACAGCAGACAAACAAGCCTGAAGGAAGGAGATTGCACAGCTCCTGCCACTTTGCAAAACACCTCAGTAGCAAGTGCGTTTGTGCTGACCAAGCTCGACGCTATGAATCGCCTGTAGTGAAAGAATTTACAGCTTTCAGCTTGCACGAATACTGCTGTTTTGCATATCTATTCCATTCCTACCTACCCCATTCGTTCTCTGCATCCTTCGCGGCCTCATTTCAGAATCTTACCTTTCCAACCTTAATCCTCGTTTTTCTATTGCATCTGCTCAGCAGCTGCATCTTTTGATGCGATTCCTGCACGCTCTCCTCGTCTGTTGGCATTCGACCTAATACTCTTTCAATTGCCTCTGTTGCTGCCTATACGACTTAATACTCTGCCATAGCAGATATGCCTTGCTTTTGACTATGGGGTAGATGCCTTACTCTTGACAATGGGGTAGATGCCAGGCAGCACGTTGATGCCACACACGCCATCCCCTCCCTGAATGTCCATGCGCATGTGGCCCCTGTTGCCCCAATCCTCTCCCCACGAGTTGCGGATGATCCAAAACGGAGGAGCAATGCGGTTCTGGCTGCCATCATTTCTTGTAATGAAGTAGCCAATAACGAGTACAACATGGTTGAGACTGCCCGTGTAGCAACCAGGATCCTGATATTTGTAAGTCTGAATTGAGATGGGGAAAGAACATTCAGAAAGGGGCGATTTAACAAAAACAAGTCAGACAGGTGTGAAACTGTAAAAGCAGATTCAGCATTCTAAAGTGTTGGGACTTGTCAACCAGTGAATGCAACAGCAATCCAGGTGAAACAAAGAAGGACCACACAACACGGTTCACACCAAAGCGAGCGAAAGGTGGCAGCGGCTCACCCCATCATACTGCATGAAGGTTGGAGACGCCTCGATGTGAACCACCACTGGCTGCCGCTGCACTGCCAGCATGAGCCCCACATACCCCTTGAACTGCGCTCGCTCAAACGCCTGCACTGGGTACCTTGTTGCCTGGAGGCACGAGAGGGCAGGTGGGAAGAGGTGGGGTTGGGGATGGGGGTGAGATTGGGGTGGGAAAGGGGAGGTTTGAGGAAGTTTTGAAACTAGGGAAGAATACACACACTCGTGCCTCCTGAGAAGGGACAAGCCAAAAAAAGCAAGGCAAGCTATGATGAAAAACAAGGATAAGCTTTCCACCATGTCAGACGATGCCTCAGTAATTCAGCAACGAATTGCTGGATTCAGATCAGACACCGATGAAAAAGCTGTATCTTAACATGGACTTGCCTAGCTTGTTGGATAAGCTGCTTTCACTACCATTCCGGATTCTGAAACGGGCAAGCAAGCAAAGTAATTTGTCCTCCCCTAGCTGTCAGCAATATATCTTACCATACTATACCATATCTCAGATATTATCCCACCTCACCTGAAACATGCCATACCATATTACAAGTACATCCTCGTGCTGTTTTGCCTACCGGGTCAGTGGCCCCTGTGAGCCCACTGGTGCCTCAGAGTTAACACGCTGTTTTGCCTACCGGGTCAGTGGCCCCTGTGAGCCCACTGGTGCCTCAGAGTTAACACGCTGTTTTGCCTACCGGGTCAGTGGCCCCTGTGAGCCCACTGGTGCCTCAGAGTTAAGACGCTGTTTTGCCTACCGGGTCAGTGGCCACTGTGAGCCCACTGGTGCCTCAGAGTTAACACGCTGTTTTGCCTACCGGGTCAGTGGCCACTGTGAGCCCACTGGAGGCATAGAGGGCAGCGAGCGTCTCAAAGGCCTGGGTGGATGAAGATACACACCATACCATACCATACCATACCATACCATACCACACCACACCACACCACACCACACCACACCACACCACACCACACCACACCACACCACACCACACCACACCACACCACACCACACCACACCACACCACATACCATACCATACCATACCATACCATACCATACCATACCATTCCATACCATACCATACCATACCATACCATTCCATACCATACCATACCATACCATACCATACCATACCATACCATACCATACCACACCATGTCCTCATGCTGTCTACCCTACCAGGTCCCTCTCCCCTGTGAGTCCACTGGAGGCATCGAGAGCTGTGAGCGTCTCAAGGGCGTGGGTGGGGGAGCCGCCAGCAGAGCACTTGTCGGAGTCGGAAAGGCCCATGAGGGCGAAGAGCGCCTCCACTGCAAGCCGGGGAGCGCTCTGCTGCTTTGCAATGCCGTATGCCGCCTCCACACTCGCCACCACCGCATACGCCCAGCACGCATCTGAGAGGAAGGTGAAGGTTAAGCAAGGTGAAGCGTGCAATAAGGATGGAGTGATGAAGATAGGCTGCACATTTCATGTATATGGGTTACAAATTTAGAGGGTGAAGTATAGATTTACAGTTTCCTCACAATCCGAATCGATTTTCATAAAGTTGTGTTCCCATTCCCCCTTCTCCATTTAATCGCTCTTAATGTGCTGTACTTGACCCGTGAGCCTTCTATTAGAAGATGCAGGTTCATAGGCAGCTGGTGCGTGAACGCAGCACAGACTACAATAATCAGTGAAAAATGATAGCGAATAAGGATTGCCAGGGTTTCTAGTAAGTTTGTTGTTGAAATAGATTAGTAAACACCAACAGCATAATAGATTGGAAAAGCAGCTCAGATACTGAAGTGGACTCGCGATTTTATTTCCACTCACTGCAGTCGTTTTGGTTCTTGACAGGCCAGTTGAGGAAGGGCACGGAGTCCCACGTGTGGAAGTCACGGATGCTCCACGAGTCCGCTCTGGTGGCCGACAGCTTGAAGTCCGCACTCACATAGCGCGAAAAGGGACTGGCTCGAGACGGTGCAAATGTGGCCTGTGACAGTGAGAGGCCGAGGGCTGTTGGGGCCAGGAAGGATTGGACATATAGATAGAAAGATGTGAGTGGGGAGAGTAGTTGATGGTGCTGTCAAGGATTTTTGAGAATATCAGTGATGCGCTGGAAAGGGTCAGGGACAATCTCCAATGGGATCGGCTGAATTATCCAATCGGTAAGGACGCGTCAGCCCTAGGACCGATCCTGTGCAGGAACGCAATTTGACGGAGTTCAAAATGGTGCTGAAAGCTGTTAACACAATCAGCAGGATTTCAGTGCGGTACAATCACCGATCCTGCGATCGATCGTGCAAAATGGCTAGAGGTGACACGTCCTAAGATCCGAATAGTGGTGCAATCCACTCCACAAACTAAAACGGCACTAAATCAGGATATTACGTGCAAGTACAAAGGCTGAGATTGAAGTTAATTTCTAACAACCCCCCACATAGCACACAGCCTCCTGGAGCTGAAGAGGTAGTGATGTGCAGCATGGCCAAGGGCGCTGGTGAATAGAATAGGTAAGCAACATTTGGGTTGCTGCAGAGATGCTTTGACTGGTGCCAATCGGCTTACCCACGATTTTGCTGTCAATTGCCTCGCTAGTTCATTAGCCACCAACCAGTGTCTCATACTACTTCAACCAGTGATGCACATGCGGCTACTTCACCTTCAAATACTTTGAACTTACCCATAAACAATGTAACAAAGCTGCAAGGATTATTTTTGAGGCGCCTCAAAAGGATTAGGCTACAAAGTGGGCAAGAGCTCCCAGCTGCGCGACTAGTGCTGCAGGCAGAGCAGTGAATAGCCTAGAGCCCCCATTTCCCTTCCCTAATGACCCAGGGTGGTAGCCAGATAGGATCATGTGGTGGTAGACTATCAGGTGAAACGGCAGCTCACTAATAATGGACCACAATGGCATGGTGAAAAAGTATGGACGATGTTCGGTACACGCCAGTATTTAGACCATTCTAAACAAATTAAACAAATTAGGAATAGAATCTGCACGTTGTCAAGAACCATTCTAGGCTCTGGATGCCACATGTCAGGGAGCTCACCTTGCTCATTGAACTGGACTGGCTTGGGTGATGGAGCGCCTGTGAAGAGAGACATAATGAGAAAGAGAAGCACTAAGGCCATAGAGTGCTGGATGGGTCTTGGTCAAGGAGACCACGTGAAAGGGGAGCAGAGGCAAGATCATACATGTTAGCTACCACTGGTAATCGTCAGCATAATGGCCTAGCTATGACAGGTGCCATGATTATCAGTACCCAGGAGAACATCTCAAATGATATCCAATCCTACCATATTGCTCATGAGCCATGAGGCATGAGTCATGAGGCATGAGTCATGGGCATGAGTCATGAGGCATGGCATGAGCAATGCTCGAACTCGAATTGGCTCAAGATGAACCGAGTCAAACCAGCCAGGTGGACGAACCAAACCTGAACTGGTTCGGGTCAAACCGGCAGAATTCGGGTACGGTATGAACCAACATTCACAAAGTAACTTCAGTGCTTGCATGCCGCACCCCATCACCAAGGCATTCAGCATCACCCCCACACTTGCCGAAATAACCTTGCCTGTTTGCACAGCGGAGGAGTAAATGCCCTGCAGCTGGAAGGGCTTCACAGTGGTGGAGGCCACAAAGCCAAACGAGAACGCCGGTTGCCTCACTCCCGGCTGCAGCACCGCACACAGCGACACCCTCCCCTGCAGCAGCGGCCCCACTGGCTTCACGTATGAGTTTGCCAGGAACACTTGAATGCTGTTGGGAGCACCAGGATCATAATCCACCCACACCGTGTATGCATTGCCGTCGGTTAGAGCGTACGGTGACACCTCCTTGACCAAGGGTTCTTCTGTGCCGTTGACGCTCAGCCCCACGTGCTGCTCGCCCGCATCATTCTGAAGCGTGTCGAAGACAACAGCCATACTCCGAGGTCCCATTCCTTTGTACCCCACACCACCTGGCTTCCCCGCCTTGGGCTTTGCTGCGATGACAAATGCGAAGCCGTTGGACCCGGTAGTACCAGACTGGGGCACGAGAGCAAAGGTGAAGTTTACTTTGAAGGCCAATTCCAAGCCGCATCCTGAAGTCACACCAGGCTGGTACATAAACAAAGTCACTGGCTTCGCCACAAACTTCCCCGCAGTCTCCTTCTTCGTGCCCTTGGTCAGAATCGCGAATGGTGGGAGGATGCTCCTTGGGGGGACTGGAGAGTGGAAGGGTGGGAGCGACGGAGCAAGGGAGATTGTGTGTTAAGCTGTGCAAACCAGACCACTTGGTCAAAACCCACTGGGTACTGTGCCCGTGCAAGGTGATTTTGTGTGTGTGTCACCAGTCATTCAACAAGATCAACAAGCATGAGTAATATGGAGTAATTAGAGCAAATCGTGGGTTAACAACCATTGTGCCCAAAATAGAAAGTAGAGGAAATGGTTTCGGAGCGCATAAGGGAATGAGCACAAAGACTGTGAGGTCCTCAAAGCCAGTGTTCTAATGCCCTGAAAGCACATTACAATCGCTTATCACCTCCAGGGCTACAGTTGATTCTTCCAAGTCGCAAGAATCCCGCACCACACAGGCATGTTGGCACCAAGCTGGGCCCGTCCGGGTAGCACACGCCGCGACCACCACAGGCAGCAGTGGTTGGAGAGATGCCACAGAACGCTATGCACTGCGCTGCTGGCCGCTGCAACTCAGGATTGCAGGTTTTGCTTGGTGTGAAGCAGTTGGCTGCGATGGAGTAGCGCTGGCAGTCTGGTGCGGACACAACACCCGACAGGTAGTTGTCTGATAGGTCCACTCGGATGGGCGGGAGGTTCACCAGAGGGCCTGTGAGGTAGTTGTGAGAGAGAGCACTGCCGGGAGGAGGGTAGGGAAATCAAGAAACAGCGAAGGCAAGGGTACTGGTCATGGAGAGAGCTGGAGAATCAGCCCAAAGGCAAGAGGTATCAAGGGAAGGAAGGTATGGATCTAGACTTCATATTAGACATGGGCGAATAAACGGTTCGATGAGAAAGTGGGGGTTTGGTTGGGACCTTGCCCTCATCCACGAACAAGTTGAGTTGGTGAGGGGAGTGTGGTGGCGAGGATGCAAACGCGTTGCACAGGGGCTCACAGGAGCATAGAACCAAACTCGAAACGGTTCACCCGCCTGGTTCAGGACGACATACAGAAGTTCGACTCGAACCCCATCATGTTTGAACATCAGGGCTTAGAGTTAGAACCGTGAGCTCTTCAGGCTGGTTCGGCTGAAAAGAAGGTAGTTTGGTCTGACTACCACAGCCGGTTTGATCCGAACTGTTTCGGGTCCAGTATTTGCTTATGCCTTACAGGATTTGCAGGTTTGTGAGGAAGCCCATTGCAGTGGGAATTGTCCCGGTGAGTTGATTGCTAGAAAGATATCTGCCAGGAAAAGAATGAACGGGCGTGAAGAGAAGATGCAGGAAGCTCAGACTTGAACTAAAGTGTGATGGACATTGTCCGTGGTGGGGTGAGAAGCGTGCTGACAGTGCCAGCTAGGGAATGGACAGGGACGCGAGAAAGACGAGTTCTATGACTGTCAAGCATGATTACAATGAGCACGGGGAAGAGAGCGGCGGCGGGGGAGGGGAGGAGAAGAACCCGCAGTACAGCCAAGCAAAGGCCTTGTTGGGGGCTTACAGAGTGTTCAGACTTGCAAGGTTGCCGATTGCAGCAGGAATCGTGCCACTGAGCTGATTGAAAGAAAGTGATCTGCAACGGTGAGTATGAAGGCGTGTGCAGAAATAAAAAACCATGAGAATGCAAGAAGCATGAAGCACAGTCCGTGGGATGTATGCTGACACTGGCAGAGGTTAGGCGGGGGCAGAATAAGTGCGCTCTGTGTGTCCCAAGGACTGTGATAGACGTACTGAAGAGTGCCCGGAATATAGATAAGAAAAAAGGAAGAAGAAGGAATAGGAAGGACAGAGGGAGGATGCGGATAGGGCTGTGAAGGGAGGAATACGCAAGTAAGCAAAGTTCTTGAAGCTCTTCTAGGACTGGAATGATGGAAGCTTAGAATAAAAACGGAAGAGCAACCCTAAGGGATGTGTGAAAAGAACATTCAGGGAAGTAGGTGAATGCACAAAAAAAGAAGATATGATAACGAGTGCCTTGCCAATTGCCCAATATAGTACTCCTTACCAGCTGGATACTAGCAGGCACTCGTACCCCTTACCAACCAAACAGCAGTGTGGCTTCACTCTCCCTTACCAACCGGAACACAGGTGTTAGCCAGAATCGTGTCAGAATCAGTTCGCTGTTTGTGCATGTCTGCAGAAAGACACTGTAGTATGTGGCAGTGGCTATCCCACTGCTAGTACCAAGACCACAGCATACAGCGAAGGAACGGGTGGTGGTCAGCTGAGCTGATGCGAGTGGAAAAGAAGGAAGAGAGGGAATTAAAGTGCATAGATCAGGACTAGCAACAAAAGGAGAACAAATGGTGGAGAGTAGAGAAGAGAACAACCTGGAATACAGCCAAGCACAGGCCTTGCAGAGGGCTTACAGATAAGTCAGTTTTGCGAAGTTCCCCATTGAAGCAGGAATTGTGCCAGTGAGTTGATTGCTACCAAGATCCCTACCACGATAAACATGAATGCACATGCGGTAGACACAGAAAGCTCAATGTTGCATGGCAATTAGCAGCGTTCAGGAGCAAGCAACTCCATTGGAAGGAGATATCTCTAATAATGCAACAGAAGCGTGAAACGCAGAACGATGGACGCTCTTCGCGGGATGTGTGCCAACAATTGCAGGGGATAGATGGGGACAGGTGTTTGACAATTTCTCAAGCCTAGTCTAGAGTAGAACTGGAGGCTATACGAATTTGTTGGAGGAGGATAACTGAACAAGAGCAATCACAAGGGACGAGTAAGAAGCAAGGATGCATGGAGCGAAAAGGCATTACGCATAAAAAAAAGGTTCGAACGAGTGCTTTGCCAAAAGGTTCAGCGGAGCTGACGCGAGTGAATATAACGGAAGAGGGGTCAATGGAATGCATGCGTCAGGACTAGCACCAAGGAAAAGTGGTGGAGAGTAGAGAGGAGAAGAAGCTGGAGTACAGCCAAGCAAAGTCCTTCCAGGGGGCTTACAGTGAAGTCAGGTCTGCAAAGTTCCCCATTCCATCAGGAATTGTGCCAGTGAGTTGATTCCTAGAGAAATCTCTGCAACGAGAGGGAGGAGAGCAGCGCAGCAGAAAGGAAAGTAGATGGGAAATCTGGAAAAGGAAGGAATGAGGAGGAGAAGAGGGATGATGTGGAGAGTGCTATTAAGGAAGGAAGAGGCGGATGCAAGAAGCGTGCAAGCTTCTTAGGGACAAAAAGTTGAAGAAGGAATGATCAAAACCCGAAGGAAGAGAAACTGCGGAAAGAATAGAGTAGAAAAACCTGGAGCATAGTCAAGTAAAGGCCTTGCCAGGGGCATACAGAGTGCTTAGTTTTGCAAGGTTGCCGATTGCAGCAGGAATTGTGCCACTGAGCTGATTAACAGAAAGTGATCTGCATCGAAGAGCATAAATGAGTATGGTGGTAGAGATAGGAAGCTCAAATTTGCATGGCAACGGGCGATGGATAGGAGCAAGCAAGCAACTCCATTGGGAGGCAAATAACCATGAGAGATGCAGCACGTGGACATTGTTGGTGCGATGTGTGATGACACTGGCTGGAGATAGAGTAAGGGCATGCCTGTCTGTCAAGCATGAATACAATGAGCACGGGCAAGAGAGCGGCGGGAGAAGGGGGGAGTCAGGCGAAACCAAGATAGGACAAAAAGGGAGGGTGGTGGTCTGCGGAGCTGATGCAAGTGGATTTGAAGGAAGAGGGGAAAATGGAGTGCATGGGCATAAAAAACAGGAGACACGGCGAGGAGTAGAGAGGAGAAGAACCTGGAATACAGCCAAGCGAAGGCCTTGTTGGGGGCTTACAGAGATTTCAGTTTTGCAAGGTTGCCGATTGCAGCAGGAATTGTGCCAGCGAGCTGATTGAAAGAAAGTGATCTGCACCGATGAGTATGAAGGGGTGTGCGGTAGTTTTAGGAGATGTTGAGTTGATGCATCTCAAGATCAAGGGCACCAGCAAGGGTGAGGAGCAAGCAAAGCGAAGGGTGGGTGAAAATGTCTGAGTGTAGTCAAGGCCCTCGCGTTGCTTAAAGCCTTTGTGCGTGTTTGCAGACAGCCACTGCAGTGTGTGGTCATTCCACACCCTCATATTACTTCTACCTTGCAATTCACAATCACATGGCTCCAGTCGCATGCGCACTACAAGTACCAAGTCCACAGCATAGAGCGAAGGAGAGGGTGGTGGTCAGCGGAGCTGATGCGAGTGGATATAACGGAAGAGAGGTCAATGGAGTGCAAGGGTCAGGACTAGCATCAAAAGGAGGAGAATGGCAGGGAGTAAGAGGAGAAGAAGCACGATTACAGCCATGCCAAGCAGAGTCCTTTTAGGGGGCTTACAGTAAAGTCAGGTCTGAAATGGTCCCCACTCCATCAGGAATTGTGCCAGTGAGTTGATTCCTAGCAAGAGCTCTGCCACGATGAGCATGAATGCGCATGTGATAGACACAGGAAGCTCAAGTTTGCATGAAAGGCAGCACTTGGAAATTGTCCTTGGGATATGTGCTGCCGCTGGCAGAGGAAAGATGGGAACAGGAGAGGGTGGCGGAATGTAGATAGGAGAGCGACGGAAAGGAAAGTAGATAGGAAATACAGAAAAGGAAGGAATGTGGTCAGCAGAGCAGATGCAAGTGGATAAGAAGGAAGAGGGGAAAATGGAGTGCATGGGCGGGATAAGCATAAAAAGAAGGTGAAACGGCAGCGAGCATAGAGTATAGAAAGTGATCGCAGCATGCTGATGGTCATGAAGTACAGTCATGCAAAGGCCTTGCCAGGGACATACAGAGAGTATAGTTTTGCAAGGTTGCCGACTGTAGCAGGAATTGTGCCACTGAGCTGATTGACAGAAAGTGACCTGAAACGATGAGTATAAATCGGCATGGGACAGATATCAGAAGCTCAAGTTTGCATCGCAATGAGAAAAGGATAGGAACAAGCAAGCAACTCCACTGGAGGCGAACAACCATGAGAAAAGCAGCACGTAGACTGTTGGTGCGATGTATGCTAACACTGGCTGGGGGATAGAGTAAGGGCATGCCTGTCTGTCAGGCAAGAGAGCACGAGAGAAGGGAGGAGTAAGGCGAAACTCGGATAGAACAGAAAGATAGGGTGGTGGTCACTGGTCAGCAGAGCTGATGCAAGTGGATCAGCTCCACTTGCAAGATAGGATGCAACATAGGGTGGTGGTCAGCAGGGTGGTGCTGATAGGAAGAGAGGAAAATAGAGTGCATGGGCCTTGAAAGCAGGAGACGGATACGGGGGGAAGTAGAGGAGAGAAGAACCTGGAGTACAGCCAAGCGAAGGACTTGTTGGGGGCTTACAGAATGTTCAATTTAGCAAGGTTGCCGATTGCAGCAGGAATTGTGCCACTGAGTTGATTGAAAGAAAGTGATCTGCAACGATGAGTAGATAGAGGAGGCTCAAGTTTGCATGGCGACGAGTGACGGACAGAAGCAAGGAAGCAACTTCATGAAAATTTAAATCCCTAAGAATGCAACAGAGGCATGAAACACAGTCCCTGGGATGTGCGCTGACACTGGCAGGGCATAGGTGGGGGCAGAATAAGAGCACTTTGAGTGCCCAAGGAGTGTCATCAACGTACATAAAAGTTCCCGGAATGTAAATAGGAAGGAAGGAAGAGGAAGGAACGAGGAATGATGGAGGGATGATGCAGACAAGGCTGTGAAGGTGGAATACGCAAGAAGTATGCAGAGATTTTGAGGTTCTAGAACTGGAATGGCGGAGCAACACAAAGAGATGTGTGAAAAAACATTGAGGGGAGGAGGGTGGATGGATAAAAGACATGAGGAGGGACGAGCGAAGAGCAAGGAGGAAATGGCTTCACGCTGAAAAAAGGGATTAAAAGAGTGCCTTGTCGATTGCCCAGAATTTGACACCAACAGGCACTCGTACCCCTTACGAGCCAGCACACAGGTGTTAGCCACAATCGTGTCAGACTCGGTTTGCTGTTTGTGCATGTCTGTAGACAGACACTGTAGTAGTATGTGTCTATCTATCCCACTACTAGTACCAAGACCAAGGCATACAGCCGCTGATGAGCCTGGAGCACAGCCAAGCAAAGGCCTTTCAGGGAACTTACAGATACGTCAGGTTTGCGAAGTTCCCTATCGACGAGGGAATTGTGCCAGTGAGTTGATTGCCACCAAGATCTCTACCAGGATGAACATGAATGCACATACGATAGTCACAGCAATTATGAGGGACGAACAAGAAGCAAAGAGGAAACGTACGATTAGAAAAAAGGTCCAACAGAGTGCTTTGCCAATCTCCTTGAATCTGAGTTCGAATCCTCGGCTTTGGACAGCAGCAGGTTCAAATATTCAGATTTTGTAAAAATACGGACTTCTTTTTGTTAGAGATCGCATGCCTCCAAGAAGAACAAAATGCAAATACAAGGTCAGATACAATTTCTATTATGCAAGAAAGGGTTCGCCCTCTTCATCCTACTGATTTTCGCCAACAATGTGGTCCCATAAAATCACAGATTTTTTAATTCAAACGAAAATCATGTCCTGGAACAGGTTTAAACCTGTAGAATGAGGATCGGTGACTTAAGAAAAATGGTCGTTTTTTTCTACCCTGGACTGAACAGCAGTGTGGCTTCACCCTCCCTTACCAATCGGCACAGGGGTGTTAACCAGAGTCATGTTAGACTACGTTTGCTGTTTGTGCATGTCTGCAGGCAGACACTGTAGTGTGTGGTCATTCCGCACCACATCCATAAATCACTACCTTGCAATCCACAATCACATCGCTCCAGTCACATGTGCACTACTACTAGTACAAAAACCACAGCATAGAGCAAAGGAAAGCGTGGTGGTCAGCAGAGGTGTTGCGAGTGGATATAATGGAAGAGGGGTCAGTGGAATGCATGGGTCAGGACTAGCATCGAAAGGAGGAAAGTGGTGGAGAGTAGAGAGGGGAAGAAGCTGGATTAGGGGATTACAGCTAATTGAAGACCTTGATAGGGGCTTACAGAGTACTCAGTTTTGTAAGGTTGCTGATTCCTGCAGGAATTGTGCCACTGAGCTGGTTGAGAAAAAGCGATCTGCAATGAATGGGGAGCCCAAGTTTGCATGGAACGCAGCACAGTGGACATTGTTGGATGTGTGCTGACACTGGCAGGGGATGATTGGGGATAGGAGAAGTGAGGAGAGACGTGCACTTTGTGTATTTCAAGGAGTGCCATCGACATATAGAATGGTCACGGGGAAGAGCGCATTAAAGAGGAGGAAAAGAGGTAGGAAGTAGATAGGAATGGCGTAAAACGAAGAAATGAGGAGCAACAGATGGATGATGCGGAGAGTGCTGTAGATCAAGGAAGATGGAAGAAGTATGCAAAGAGTTTGAGGTCCTAGAGTGGAAGAGGGGTCAATGGAATGCAAGGAAACAAAAGGAGTAGTGGTGGAGAGTAGAAAAGAGGAGAAGAAACTGGAGTAAAGCCAAGCCAGGTTCTTTCAGAGGGCTTACAGGAAGTTCAGGTCTGACATGTTCCCCACTCCATCAGGAATTGTGCCAGTGAGTTGATTCCTAGCAAGAGCTCTGCCACGATGAACATGAATGCAGGAAGCTCAAGTTTGCATGAAAGGCAGCACGATGGATATTTTCCTAGGGATGTGTGCTGCCACTGGCAGAGGAAAGATGTGAGGTGGGTGGCGGAATGTAGATAGGAAGGAGAGAGGCAGAAAGGAAAGTGGTTAGGAAAAAAAGGAAAAGGAATGAGGAGGAACAAAGGGATGATGTGGAGAATGATATGAAAGGAGGAAGAGACGGATGCAAGAAGCATGCAAGCTTCTGAGCATGTGGGACTTGAATGGCGAAGGAGAGGGTGGTGGTCAGCGGAGCTGATACAAGAGGATAAGAAGGAAGAGGGGAAAATGGAATTCATGGTTCGGGATTATCATCAAAAGGAAGAGAAACGGTGGAGAGTAGAGATTACAGCGAACAACCTGGAGTATAGCCAAACAAAGGCCTGGAGTCACGGGCTTACAGCGTGTCTAGTTTTGCAAGGCCGCCGATTTCTGGAGGAAT